TCAGAATCTATCCGCGAAACTTACTTCGTTCTACCTTTTTTTTTTTTTTTTTTACCATGGAATACGATCCACAAGGCGTCGCGGGAAATTGTATGATTTGTTCGCTCAACTCGCAGAAAGTATCTATGATGTACGCGTAAACCTCGATCAAATTTTTCTGCTTCCTCTCATCGATCAGATCATACATTTTCACCGTGTCATCTAACAATCTCTTCTTCTCTTCCTCGTCTGCAAATAAAAATTTTAATCAAAACGGAATTCTATTGGGATTCTATTGGGATAATTATTAATTTACCGCAAGAATGCTTGTCCTTCGGCTCCGAGTCATCTTTAAGGTTGTTATTATTGTCTCGATCGATAAGTTGACGCACTATTTTCGATTTGGTCAGATTTATATGGAACAGAGGCGGAATCCCCCGATATTCAAAAATCGCCATTTGCTTGTTCATCCGATTCTTCAATTGATTCAGCATCGCTTGTTTCTTTTTCCCAGCAAGCTCGGCCAAGGTGAAAACTTCCACTAGAAATCTGTGAGAGAGAGAGAGAGAGAGAGAACCGAAAAAAGATCTTTCGTCTTAATTTCTTGAAGATACACGTTGAAAAATTACTTTCGTTGACCAGCCAATCCATTCGCCCCAATTTTGTTGCCAGAAATATCTGTCGGGCAAGGGGAATAGATCAAATGAAGCTTGATTGTTTCCCCAGGAAGAATGAATCCGTAGTTGTTCGGTTGTATATCTGCAGACAACGGAAGATCTATAAAAGCGTACTCTTGAATCAACAGAGACTCGTTCGTCAGTGTTAATTCCGCGTAGACAGATTCGTGTGTGTGGACGAATCCTAGATCGATACTCGCCGGTTCTGTTGAAACGAGAAGGGATTACAAATTAACTTTTGTACAGAGAGAAAAGATCTATTAAGATCTCAAGAGAAATTTTTTAATCGAACGACTACCGACCTAATATCAAACCGTTACAAGGTGTTAGACTGGCGATGGTTTTCATTATCAATGGCGGTGGTCTCTCTTGGGAATCTTGGGACAAGATTTGCACTTTGATCGGAAATTCTAATATGTTGGACACTGGATTGTAGAATCTAAAATTTTGTAGAATATATATATATATATATAAAATGGGAAATGAATTGTTGCAATTCCTGAATTGCACATTTTTATGATAATAAAAATATTTATTACCGTTTGGAAGAAGTAAGAATATTCGATTCAGGTATCAATCTCACGTTAATTTTGCAACGAGATTTAGCATCTACCGTGGTCGATTTCGGGTGAACTGACACGTGATTTCTCAAATTTTTAGGTGTCATTATTAAAACTTCAACCATTGTGTGTCCTAAATAATATCGTGAATTAGGGCATGAATTGATATCGATAGATGATTTTATAAAACGTTACCAATGTTGTAAATGTTGAACGTTTGTTGAGAAACGTCCGAGTCGATCATCACGATGCCTAGATCGATGCAAAGTGGATCCAGACAGATTTGATAGCCTAACACCTCAGCCCACACAGGAATACTCTGTTGGCGAGAAAACGTTGGATGAAATTATTTCATTCTAAAGCAGTGTTACGCCGTTTTTAATTTATTTGTACGTAAGAAATAACGAACCTTTTTCCCCAACATCCGGTTTCCGCTGAAGAAATTAATTTCCAAGACTTCGTGATGTACGCCTATGTATTTTGGTCGAAAAGTAATTATGAAATTATACTTAAATTTTGGAAGAATTTCGATCTGATACAGCTTTCGACATTTCTCGTTTTCCAAAATATTCTCGTTATCATTTCCTTCTTCGTTGCCTAAAATCACATACAATTTATTGGAATTTCATGGCGAGAATTCTTTTAGTTTCGATTAATCAAAATATCTGAACCTGAAAGACTTATCATAGAGGATTCTTCGCTCCGGAATACCACATCCTGCTCGAAACGCCATAAGAACAATGATCTCGTTTCTTCCTTTCTTCGATTGCGATAGAAAATGGTTTTTTCCCGTTATTGTAGATCGTAAGAATCCTTTCGCTCAACTTGGGATCGTCGTACTTCCATATTGGAGCCGATGGAAATCTGTCGTCACGATTTCAACAACGTTTGAAAATTTAATCATGAGATATTCCACCTCGAATTCCGGATTGGATGGAAAAATTAATCGGATCGTAGCTTCGATTTTCACCTAAGCTCGTCAGGGTCCAGAATAGGCATGGCAATTTGCGGAGTGCAATGAACGTAAACGCGAAATTCGTGGAAATTTTGATCGTAATCTGGGCTCAGGGTAAGGAAAGCAATCTCGGCCGTCACCTCCTCCTCGTATATCGGTGAAAATTTCACGTTGACCGCCACCTGCAACCCAGGTTTAACTCTCGCGGCATCCATAATCTCGATCTGCGAGAGGAGAATTACTCTTTTAAGTAAGTTCTCTCCGATTTTGGAGATTTTAAAAATTTATAAAGCTCGGAAACCTCGACGACACTCGGCTCCCATACTTCGGTGTACACTTTGTGGAATCGTATATACGCCCACTTCGACGTTTTATTCGTGATCGTCACTTTGCGGGAATACTTTTCATTCACCTCGAAATCCTGGTTAAACAGAGGCGATGGATGTGAAATTTAAAATGAGAAGAAATATAAATTAAAAGAGAATACCTCAAAAATGACAACGCTTGGAGTTGCGTAGAAGCAAGTATCTATAGGAAACACTTGTTCCTTCGACGTTTTGACGGATTGTTTTAGTACAATTTTTTTCAAAATTATTTCATCTCCTTTTACTTTCGCCTCGTCATCTTTTTCATCTTCTTCGAGCGATTCTTTCTCGATTTTATTCTCACTCGCCTCTCCAACTTGTTCCTTCATCACCGAGATATTTTCATCTTTTTTTACAATCGCAAACTCTTCGCTTCGAATCTCTTCGAAAGAAGTTTTTTCCACAGAAGTGATTTCTTTAACTTTGTAACTCTTCGAGCATATATATTTCGGTCTCCTCGGGAAAATGTCATCCCTCATCTCGTGAAATATCTTTGCGATAATTTCCATCTTTCTCTCTTCTCGAAGCTTCTCCTGCTTCTTCTTTTCCTTTTTACTCTTCAATATCTGTTTTTTTTTTTTCGATTTAAGAAAACTTAAAAATTCGAGTTAGAATATCTTTGAAAGTTTTAGATGTGGAAAGATTTTTTTCCACAAGAGGAAACTAACTTTATCGAAGATTTTAGAATCGGATGGAAATGATTCGGGTATATTGTACTCCAATCTTATTCTGTAAAAATGTATATCTCGCGTACAAACTCTCGTTTGTTAAACAATTTTATAATGAAAAACGATTTCCAAATACCTCAAGATATCATTCGAACGAATCTTTTGCCTATTTTGTTTCCTTTCCTTAAAATGGCAACTGTGATGCCATTGTTCTTTCAATAAAAAGATCTGAAATATTTAGATTAAATTAAAATTCCGTCCTGTTCTTTTCTTCTCTTTTTTTTTTTATTCTCTTTACCTTCAACCTGATTACAGATGTGCAAAATTTCATCACTTTACATTTGTCCCAGTATTCTTTCCACATTTCATGTTCCCTCTTTTGTCGAAAAATTTTCAATTTCGTCCATTTCGTTAACTCGTACTCCTCTTTTTCTTTCTCTTCGATCTCCTACGTTACAAAATAATTTAAAAAATTTCGTCCAACATTTTATCAATATTATTTTTTCGAATCGTCTCTAACCTTTTCATCCTCCACTTGCAACTTTAAAGCCTCTTCCTTCAGGCTCCTTTTATATTTTTCCAAAGCCACGAAGCCTAAATAAACGGATGAGAAGAAAATTGAAGAATTGAAACAAAGAATCCAAACTCCTCTTATCGGAAAATTCTAATTCGACAACCTACCTTTCCAAGTTTCTTCATTCTCTCTGTCAAGCCTGGCCGCAGTTTTTTCATCGTACAGACACGTGCACGTCTTTATAAAAATCCCTTTTCTCGACCTTTTCCCACTCATTTCTTCTCCCCCTTCTCGAATATATATCTATACCAAACAATCTTGTCAAAATATCGAGCCGTCAAAACGAAGAAATAAAAGACTGAAAAGGAAATCGAATAACCGGTCGAAAATTGTCATCGAATCTTCAACCTCCTCGGAATTTTCTCTCCACACCTAACCACAATCATCGTCATCGTTCAACGATGATTCAAATCTCCGCGCGTCAATCGTTGGACAAACACTGCCCATTTCTTGGAACGTATTCGAGGTGGCCGACGAATCGAGATCACGACGATCGCAACGATCCATCCTCTGAATTAGCCTGCGCCTCGCCTGCTACTTCCCATCCCGTACATTTTTCCATCGGTTCCACGGATATCCATATACGTGCCAGATGGAATCGTAGCAGAAACTTTCTCCGGGATAATGATGCACCGCACGATTGCACACAGGCTGCGCCGAATGCATAATTCATACGTATGCCACGAACTTTGAACCGGCGCCTCCACCCCGATGGGGAGGAGGGGCGTTGCAATCCTGCCTTTCCCCTCCCCTCCCTCCCTTTTCGCCTTCCGTTTTTTTTCGCCTTCCACGGCGAAAAGATTCGACCCGCCACACACGTCACACACGGCGCCTGTCGTGGGATATTTTCGTCCGATCCTCGCGAGCTTTCGCCGAGGAAATTGCCGCTCGGGTCGCGGAGAGTGGCAATCAGCAATCAGAGGAGGAATCCACCTTTCCTCGACGTTAATTCCTTTCAACCCTACTTATAAACTTTCTGTTCTGGAAATCTTGAAATCTTCTTTACGGAGGATTGATCCGTGACCAATGATCGTGTTATTGGAATATATTTTCTTCTTCGAACAGAAATCTTTCCTTTTCGATCTTTCTTTCTTTTTTTTCTTTTTTTTTTTTCTCCTTTTCCTTAATTGTAATTAAGGCAACGAAAAGTTGGAGAGGAATCATCGTGGATGGCGATGTTTCGATGTTCGATTATCGTTTTTCACGATCAATTTTAAGTGATATTTCATCGATCATTATGAATAATGGTGATTGGAACATGGCGACGAGGCGAATTAAAAATCTCTTTCGTTTTTCCATTTCGTTTAATTGTAATTAGGCAAGGAAACGTGGATTAAAAGTTGGAGAGGAATTATCGTGATGCTTCATTCGATTATCGTTTTCACGATCAAATTTAAGTGATTTCAAAATCGAAACGTCGATCGTTATGGATAATAATGGTGATTGGAACATGGCGACGAGGCGAATTAAAAATCTCTTTCGTTTTTCCATTTCCTTTAATTGTAATTAAAGGCAAGGAAACGTGGATTGAAAGTTGGGGAGGAATTATCGTGATGCTTCCTTCGATTATTTTTTTTTTCACAATTAAATGATTACATCAAAGTATCGATTATTATGGGAATAGAATATTGGAACATAGTGACGATGAATTATTAAAAATCTTGATTTTCTTTTTCCTTCAATTACAATTAGCGAATTAAAAGTTGAAGAGGAATTATCATGGGTGACGCTTCATGATTGGAACATGGCAACGATGAATTAATAATCTTGGCTTCCTTTCTGTGTAATTGTAACGAAACAAAGATTTGAGACAAGTTGTATTTTTCAAGACGCTTTCAACCGAATATTCAAATAGTAGAGCGGAAGTGGCACCTCTCGCGCGAGATGTGAAAAAAAAAGAAAAAAGCTAGCAGCTTTACCAGCAGCCATATGTCGGATAATTTTGTAGATTGATGGAGAATTTCACGGAGCAACTGACACCCGTATACAACGTTCCCATGCTAGGCGGAGGCTGTGTAACGCGTCTGTCACGCGAGGCGTTCACCTTTACTTATTATTGCCAGAGGATATTAATCGACGCTCGATTGGCCGCTAATAACTTTCTAATTTATCGAGCAACAATACGAGCGGAATCGAGGATTATTTGCCTCTCGACACCTCCCCGTTTCAACAGGAACAAATGGTTTTTCAACCAACACTGGATGGAAAGCGGTACTCTTGACAACCGAGGATACGATATTTTGTCCATCGAACCTTTTTCATTCCTCGCTACATACCTTTCCTCCACAAAATTTCGTTTCCATTCGAGAAAAAAGTACTGGAAGAGCACAAGAGAGAGAGAGAAAAAGAAGTAAAAACAATCAGGAGAACAGAGAAACCTCGATGTGTCTGCCGCGTAAGAATCTCTGACTTTCCAATCTAAAAAGTCCGATCCAACCAACAAGAGAAGATTAACCAACAAAGTTATCTTCAACAAAGGGGAGAGAAAATTTGGAGAGAAACGAATCGTATCGAAATCCGTTCACCTGAGAAATCCGTGAAAGGGGGGGAGGTGGGAGAGGGGAGGGGGCGACAAGGCACGCGCCCTCTGTCAAACAGTCGCAAACATTTTGAAAACATCTCAATCGGGCCGCGAGAGCGGACGACGGGTGGGCGAGTCGCTCTCTCTCGAGGTTATTTGTCAACCGTCTCAAGGGGGTGGCGATCTCTCTTTCCATCTCGAGCGGAGGGTCGCGTGGCCAAACAGAAGTCGGTCGCCTCTTTTCTATCCTCGATGGAACCTCGTAAATCAACTCTACAATGAGGGAAGAGAGAGAGAGAGAGAAAGGTGAACGCGTTTCTTCATCCCCCGTGGAGGGAGAAAAGCGTGGATCTCGGTGAAAATCCCTTCTTTCTCCCGTATTAGCAAGCGTGCTCCAGTGGGATCGCAGTCAGGTCTACTTCGGTTCCCTTCCCAAATTTGTCCCAAAGACCCAGTGGCCCTAAATTTTCGAAAACTGTGCCAGCCACGAGAGCCTTTCTTCCGAGACTTTCCACTTTTACAAGACTGCTTGGACAAGAGCGCACAATGGAGGTCTCCCGCGACGAGCTGCCTGCAAATGATTCACGTTAGACTGAGATCGCTACCGGTGTTCGCACGGGTTATAAACGCATAAATTCTCTCTCGCTTAACACGCGCCACCGCCGCTCGTGGCCCCAATATTTCAAGGACGATGCTGGAACGACGACCAATCCTCTTCTTCCTCCTCCTCCTCAACATGTCGTACCAACCAATTTTTCTTTTATAAGGACTTTTATAAGACTGAAGGAAACTATTTCGATAAATGATTTTGGAGAAACGAGTCAAGTTCCTCGATTTGGACAAAGAAACGAAACAAGGAAGACTATCGCGTATGGATGGAAGGAAGCGAATAATTAATTTACAACCCGATATAATCGGGAGAGGGGGAAGACCGGCTTCGGGATTCGAGACGCTCGTCCGTAAGCGTCGACAGTTTTTAAACGGAACGCAAACTTTCTCCGTTGGTTAAAAATCCAGTCGGTTACCGAACGGAAGCGGCGGTCACGCAACAGCCATCGTATTATCGATGCACACGTGCCTTTTGTGAAAAAATTCCGCCGCGTAGACGGTGGCCGGCGGTGGCACGGGGCTGCAAAACCATCACGAGGGGGAGGTGTGATGCGTTACAGCTGGTTAAACAGCTGTGCGGGAAAAAGATAGCCGTGAACGCCGCGACAAATTTCGATACCAGAAAACCGAAATCGGACCAACCAACCTTCCCTTCTTCTTCTTCTTCTTCTTCTTATTTCTTCTCCTTTTTTTTTTCCATTACATCATCTTGTTTCGTTTATTCTTTCGGTGAAAGCGGATCAAATTTTACACTCAAATTTTATCGAAATCTCGCGCGGGGGGTCTCAACGTGGGTCTCTGCAATTTTGAATTTTTTTTTTTTTAAATTTCTTTCAGGATGAATTTAAAGAGGGGGGCAAGTAGCGAGGAAATTTTAATGTCCCGGTAACCTACATTACGGAGCGGAGAAATTGCGAGGAGACAGAGGAGAAGGTAGGGTAAAAGTCGCCCTCTGCGAGCAGAGGTTCATTGGACGGGACAATGGTGCGGAGAGTAGGTCACCGGGCCCCGCAAGGCCCCTCGTAAATTTTATTGGCGCACGGAAGCCTGGTGTTTTTCGTGAAAATGGCCTTACGGTAGCCGTATCTCGTGGCTTAGCCTAGGAATTTTTCACGTTTTATCACACCGATCGACAACGAGGCGAATGGTGAATCGAAATTAACGTTGCCATTGACATTGCCGTTCTTCGTGTCGAAAGAAAGAAAGAAAGCTCGTGGGAAAATGGTGAATTTTAAGTTTAAGAGTCTCTCATAAATCTTCATTTGCGTAATTTATTTCTATACAACGAGAAATGAATGCATTTAAAAAAATCTTTTGGTAAAATTATCGTAACGTAATTCTCGATGAATTTTTGAAAGATCATTCGAGCTATTTAGAAACGGATGCTGCAGAAGGTGCCGTGTCATGGTTTGGGAAAAGATGAAGGGGATATTAGAGCATGCCGAAACACCGGTAGCTACTATTAGATTTTTTCTTCTTCTGTAATTAGTATCATCAGGAATATCCGTTCGAATCGACATTTATGGATATCCTTAAACGATCTCACTACACGCATATATGTATAAATATAGGGCAAAATGTTAAAAATGTATTAATTTACGAAGAAATTACACAAGATGGAATGGAAGATATCCGTCATATGGGATCGTGTGCCGTGTAAAATGTTTTTTCGAAGTATTCCATTTAATTACTTCTCGAATTGTTCTTGAAAATATCTGCAGCACAGACTTTCCAAAGATGGTCCATTTTGCGAGACATTTTCGAAAGCTGAAATTCATTTCGGAGGACTCGTTGTCCTCGAAGTCGAAAAGACGAGGATCGACAATGGACATTTCACGGGACTTAGTTATAAAATTGACCATAAATACGATCGTAAAATCCCATTGCACGTCCTTCGAGACACGATTTTAAGGTCTGCTCTCTTGTTCTCGCAGCAGTTCTCTCAACTTGGCTTTTCCTCGCTTTTTCACTCTCCTCCTCGCTTCCAGTTTCAAACAGATTTGTCTTCTTCTTCTTCTTCTTCTTCTTCTTCTTCTTTTTCCTTCCTTCAAATACGTAAACGATATCGTAAACGTCCAATTATTCTTTACACTTTTTCGTTTCCCCTTTATTTCTTTAACGTTCGTTTAACGAATGGATCTGCAAAAAAGAGAAGAAAAATAATAATAAAAAGTTTTCATCTCGATCGAGATGAAAATTCGATGGAATAGAACGATTTTTCTATTTGGGAAAAGAAGAGAGATAAAAATTGG